GCATTTATCCACTTAAAGAGCACCACCCCGATGATGTCAGTAACAGATGACTGCGAGACACTCCCCTCTCCATCGCCCCACAGCCAGCTCTGGTCACTGAGGGCAGAGAGGGATAGAGGGTGGGGGTAGGGAAGATAATTACCAGTATAAATGAAGCCCCGCTAACGATTCGCACTGCTGGGTCCCCTGATCTAGTCTCCAAGGCAACCTCAGCACGCTCATTTGTTTTGTAGATGAGTAATTACATCCAATTAGTGGCCAGTGGAAAAAAAGGAGTCCAAGAAAGGCCCATTGTTCTGGATAGATTGTGTGAATATTAATAGTGGGGAGGTCTGAGGCGCAGTGATATGATCGTGATACTGATGCAGCTGTGGGCACACTCTGCCCAGTCTCATCCTGCATAACAGATCAGATAGCCACTGATGAAAATATATGGCTTTGAGAGTGTGTTTGGGCCTGAGTGTCTGAGGCAGTGTCCAGCTGCCTCTATCCAGGAAACACGGCCAGGACAGTGATACACGCCGGGCAATGTCAGAAAACTTTGTATCATCTGAAAATGCCATTACCTGACTTAATGTTAGATACTCCAACCCAATCTAAGAAAATATGTAAACCTTATTGCAGTGGTGGAAATATGTACTGTACACTGTAGGCAGTACATTTTACTTCTGGGTTTTCATCACTCACGAACACACAGAGTGCTGCAGGATAGGTGTTAGTTGATAGATTTAGAGGGTAAATAACTTTAGCTTGTTGGTCTTTGTTGTCAGGGATTGGTAATACACTTTAACAACTATCTTCATGGGCTGACACTATGTGGATCTGGCCCCACACAGGACCATACATTAGCCACTACTGAAAAATGTTTGTTTTTTAAAATATGTCAAGACTGGATGTCTGAACATTTGGTTTTCTATCTTGTTTGAGATGTATACCAGACAGATTCCCCACATTCCCATTGTCAAAATACTGCTTACAAACTGGTTTTAGCTTGTTTTTGAATGAATTAAGTATCATGGCTAAAATTGTAGTTTTAGGTATAGACTATATTCACAAGGCGGCCATTTTCCTGCAATGTCATGCTCAGGGTGGGAAGCTCAATTGATATCATGTTTTACTGCTTTTTTTCCAGGTTACAAGTCATAAACCTTGAGTAACAGACACATTTTGATCTTTTCACAACTTCCTGATTGATGAGCAATTACAAAGACAATGGATAGTAAAAAAGCAGAGAGACATCTGGCCTCATTCAAGTAAAAAAAAAAAACACATTATACATTGATAAGCCATTTGCTTCTATAGAGGGATAAATATAACCTGGGGAGCTCTGATCTTTGTAATAATTGCGGAGAACATCTCAGTTTTATAATCTCCTGCTAATCAACCATGTCTGTCAACTGAAAAGTTAAAATTCCAGGGCAAATTAGCGACCATATTTCACCACACACAGATGCATTTTCCAGTACAAATGTGCCACATCAAACATTGATGTTAGGGGGTCATTTCCAAATTATCAGAGGTCCCAAGGTAATACTAATCCTGTGCAAATAGACTTTTTCAGATCACACTAACATTAGAATTTAGCCACTTCCTTGGTTGACATACTCAACATGTATTTAGTCTCACAACTTATCTTTAACTTTGCAGCTCTCTCTTCAAACTCCGCTGTTATTTTAAATTACTGTATCATTGGTGAAGAAAATAGTAAAACAATAACATTAGATTCTATTTAACGTTTATACAAGTCAATTGATTGTTTTATGATGGAATCCATCCATCAGTGTTTCTTTCAATTCAATTCAAATAACTTTATCCGTTCGTAACTTCATTCTTCATTTCTTGCTTTCAGTTCATATTGGAATCACACATACTAATGGTGTCTTTCTGTCTTCTTCCTATCTTTTTAAAAAAAATTGATAAGCACACTCTTGTCTAGGAAGAGTACAATTGATTGTAATTGTTTATTGATAAAAAACAATCAGATGTTTCAGTGTGAGCATGAAAGTCAAGGGTCCTGTCTAGCATAGAGGCTGTTAAAGTAATCCCATTCAAAGTTTTCCTGTATTGGAAATAACTTTCATTTCAAATTTTTTGATTTGAAAGCTAGCCCATATCAATAATCAGAAAATACTTAATAATTAATAAATAAATGCATTAATCTAAGTCCTTCAAAGATGCTACAAATTCACTTTTATCAAACGTTGAATTTTTGCTGTAACATGATCAATGGTTAATTGTATTGTATTTTATTAAAGTAACGTTACATGTCACTCATAAAGCATGACAAAGTATTATAATGTTGAAAGAATAGCCTGGTTCAGTCTTTACACTGTTCTAATCTGGTGACATATTTAAATAGCTTCTTCTGAATTCCCAATAACAGGGTTTGTCAAATGTTTTCTCCCCATTATAATTATTCCATTGATCGGGTTTTCCTCATTAGCAAGGCCAATCAATTTGGTGTGACATTTGTCTAAGTGAAGAAAATAGAAAGATTGGTTCTTGAGCTTTGTTCAATGTGTCAGGCTTTATGTGACGTACGTAGGAAGCCTGCCGTATTTGGAGCCTATAATTTGATGAGTGGGCAGACAGCCCACAAGTGGTGAGATCAGAGTGCTAAAAAGCACTGGTGGAGAGAAACATGGCTGTGCTTACATTTCATTTGGCAGAAGTGGACTGTCTCCCTCTGAATGGGTAGAGGTGAAGTGGCTTTGAATGGCTGTTCGCCCCAGGACCCAAATAAAAAACAAACACACAGCAGGGGAAACCTAGCATGGCAAAGCCAGTGTCACCAATCTGACTCCCTCCTGAGTAGATTAACTCTGTTATCAAAGAGGTGTGAGAGGAACCCGTTTCTTTTAATTGCACCCTTTATACAAGCAGCTTGTCTCAGATTAAGAGGACAAGCAATAAATGTCAGCCCGATTTATTGCTGAAAGACATTTTCTAAACTGTTGATAATCCGCCATCTGTGTCAAAGAGAGAATCATTGGAAGAGGCCAATCCGAGACGTGCTCTGAGTATTTAGAGCACTTGTGAACGCCTGTCATCAATAAACACCAACATCTCTGTATCTTACTCACATAAAAACCTTATCATCAGTTGCTTTTGGTCAACAACAAAAAAAGAGGCTTTAAATTAATTATTGATTGGTGCACTTTCTGTTTCTTTTGATTTGAATGACAAAAGCTTCCTGCAGGTATGTCAACAAGAAATGGTCTGTTTGAAATGAGAAGTGTATTGAGCTGTGTTTTAATGATTCTTCGGTTTTATCTTGCTCATTAATTATTATTAGTAAACACAAAAGGCAGGTTAATTGTGTAGAAGCCAAGATAGCAAATCTGTTCCCTAATTGTATATTTTTTTATTCGTTGCAATGGTTAGGACATACATAGCTTAAAAAGTTCTTGATTTATTTAACTCTAGCCAAGGCATTATATTAACTTAGGATGTTTTCATTGACCATATACTGACCGTATTGTCTTCTGATGGAGGGCTCAGAGTGGGAAGCTCCAATTCTCTTTATATGTGTTTCATGTTTTGAGTTGCATTAATGTAGGAAATCAATGTCCTTTCATTGCTTCAACATTTATCAATAACTGTAGAAGAGGTTGAGTTCTACGCCACCTTTAATAGTTATAGGCCTTTACAATATTAGCAGCATGGATAGATGTAACTTTGTAAAATCAATTTCTTACAGATGGACCAGCATGTCCTTAGTTCATTGGCTTGATGCTAACACACGAGGCTAACAGATTTAGCATCATGGTTGCGGTACTTGAGAAACAATCTATTTTACGTAACAGATTAATGTATGTGTATTAAATGTGGGTAAAATCAATCGGATCTTTTGTTAAGAGATGATAAGTTGGAGTCTAAGCATCTCAACGGTTTATAACGCTACTATTGTTGTCACCTGAAACTTGTGCTGTCTTCTTCTTTTGTTATTTAATGGTAGTTAGCAAACACTTTTCAGAAGGAACTACTGCCACGTCTGGTGGCAGCTCCGCATCCCATCCAGGTGTCAGTAGAAATAATGGGAATAATATTTTAAGTTGGGATAAAAGTTTTACAGAACCTTTGATTGTTCATAAATTAACGACGATTCAAATATTCTTAAATCATGATCCATCCCTACCCATTAACTACATCATGCTAGAGTTAATGTTGGCATTTAACCACTTCCTCAAATTCATTACCATTAACTGTGAATGCAAGCCTCTCTTATTTTATTGCGTTTAATAGGTCATGTTCACATTCAGCCATTTCATAGCTAACATTAACATTAGCTAACACAGTAATCTAGGTGTGGCTAAGTGTATTTCATATCGTATAGTTCATCGCTGTTAAAATATAAACAGTAAACATTAACCCATTTCCGAACTCATGATTAAAGTAGCTAAAAAATGGCAAAATACACATATTAACCGTTGTTCAGTATTGGTTAATTGGTAATTCAATAAATCATTTACCATGAAATACAATGAAATATGGCAAGATGCCCTCAATAATTTTGTTATTCTTTGTTATTTCAGTTTACGGTGATTCAAAAAATGTTACTAAAAGATAATGATTAACTGATTACCTGACATTATACAACTTACAACCCAGAGAAACATCAAAACAATGTTATAAGAGCTACTGAGCTTCCCACCTTAAGCCATTTGTCAGGAAAATAAGGATGCTATGTAAATGAAATGAAATTCAGGGACAGAAAGTCTACATCCATAAGTTTAATGCTGGTATCAGAACACAAGAGTTTTACACAAGGACCACATGTGAGGGGGGCCTTGCCAACATGGCACTAGCTGCTGGGGAGGGAGGGCAGAGAGGGCCAATTCAAGCAGACAAAATGCACGAATGTAACTTTTAATCAGTGAAACACACCAACCAAGCTTTGCTGCACAATCTGGACTTTGATTTTGAAAATGACAAAGTTGATTACCCCAATGATGGAGTCCCCTCCCCTCCCCCTCCCCACCCTATACTGTATCTCCCAGGCCTCCCCGATTACGGGTTTTACTCTGCGCCCAGTGACCAGAGGGGGGGGCCCTGCTCCTTTGCTGACTATGGCTCCCTGGGGCCCCAAGCGGCTCAGATGCTGCACAGTGAGCATGCCACCTCCGCCTGCAACTCCCCCCTCCAGCACCTACACAGCCCGGATCAATTTAAGAACCCAGGTTTGTATATGCGCATCTATCTTATCCAAGTTTTGGAGTTTTTCAGTTTGATTCATGACATTATCCCATGTAGATGATCTAATCTTTTTTTTTATATTCTGATTATTTTCATATTTGCTCTTCTTTTGTCAAAGAAAGAAAAAAAATCCCCCTTCAAGAAACCTTTAAAAAAAAGTCTTGCTGACAAAATAGCATTGCATGTCCTTCTCCTTTTGTCAATTTTCTAATGTAGATTTTTCTGTTTCTTTGTGAAGTTATGTTCCAGCCCTTGCCTGCACATAAAGGGCCAACTCATACAGAATGTAAACCTTCATTTGCATGTGAACATAATAACTATGATATCAGTGAGTGTGCTGGCCTCTTGCACAGCTGAAGTTGATGTGAATTTTTCAGCTGCAAAGGAACGAGTTAAGTGAGGGAGTGAGAGTGATTTTTGTTTGTCAAGCCCTTTAAGTATTTTAAGTGATAGAATGATTGTCCGATTTTTTTTACTTTTTGAAAGTCTAACTGGGATCAGAAGAAATTATGGATACTTTTGTAGACACTTAGAGGACAACATTTTTGCATAATAAAGCCATTACTCTCCAGCAAAATAACATTTTCATCTTTTTCTTATCTTACTTATGTAATCATAGCTTTCAAACGCCAGGGAAGAGACTCCACTGTCAAGTTAAATCTACTGCACATTGACATTTCAATACCTGCATGCAGTGAATAAAAGACATTAGAAAAGTCGACTTTATTTGGGAGCAGGCAGAATAAATTGCTCTTAACTGAATTAGCATTTATGGGATTATTTCTTTTTTATTTTGATAATGAGATATTTCAAATCATGTTTGCACAGACATGACATACCACCAAAGTTCTTCATTTTGTTGTATATAAAGGAGGTCTATTTTAGTGGTGTGCCTCGGTGCATTGTGGGAGACGAGCCAGTGTCAGTGCTGACCTACACACAGCAGTTGGGTTCTCTTTCTCTGGAGACTCACAGGCCCCCTGCTGGGTTTGAAATGTGTTATAGCTTTCAATCTTGTACCTTCACTCTTGTGTCCCCACCTCCACTTCACAATAACAGCAGCCAGACATATTGCAAGCAAAAGGGGCTGTCCTCTCGCCCTTTTGGCCCAACAAAGTAATTGTGTAAGTGTTAGGCCAACTCTCCCCTTGATGGTTTAAAGTGTTGGCCAGCTGCCTCGGGCAGATGTTGGCATTTCCTACAGACTGACTTTAGCACAGTGCATAGCAGAAAACATGGACAGGTTGCATAGGAACAGCTGTGCAGTTGTGAAGAGTTTCTTGTGCTTTTACTTTCTTTCTCACAACACTTATAGAAGTAAGGTAGCACCACATGCATGGTTCAACATACTCTTGACTTCCCATAGATCTGTGAAGCTGTGTAAAGTGTTTTAATTCTTACACATTTGCATAGTACAGTGGAGTTAACTTCTTCTTTATATAACTGCGAATACACTCACCAATTCCCCTATTGACTTTAAGGCCTGGTTATAGCAGGTTCATATTTGAAACATTATAGTGGACAGATGATTAGAAAGGGGTTTCAGTAAGTCAAAACCGTCCTGTGTTTTAGCAGAATTTTTTTCTTAGTTGGGTAAGGAGCAGTTTTATTCTCACCTGACAGGAGTAGTAATCCTGAGTGAGTCAGCAGAGGTTGATTACATCATAACACAATTTATGTGCTTGTTGTCTGTGAAATAGACTTTATATTTGTAGCCAACCTCGACCCTAATGATGTGAAAATCTCATTAGAGTTCTCAGGAACACAATTCTGCTGTTTATTTGAAGGTTTTCTTTAAGTAGATAAGAACAATGAATGATTTTGAAAGTAGGAATAATTGTTTTTTGTGTACATTAGGTGTCTTATGATGATGATTACGAGCATAGATTACCCATGAGTCATTTATCATGTCATAACTGCTCCTTACAAAGTGATGCAGATGGCTCACAGATTCCCAGCCTAAGAGGGGGATTAGGATTATTTCCATCTTCAATTTGATGGCAAATCTCATTGATAAATGCTTTTCTTTTATACTGTCTGTACTGTGGTACTTTACTGGAGTGAGTTAAAATGAAGTAAATACAAGCCAAAGACATTGACAAAAAAAAAGAGCAGCACATAGTGTTCTGTACAGAGTCATGATGTAGACCATCATTACTTCAGGTCTTCCCATTTTCAAGCATCAAGCATTTTTTCTCTCCAGACTTGTTTGTCCTTTGAGAACCAGAAACTGAAGCGTGAGAAACGCTCAGCACTATCAGTCCTTATTAACCAAAATCAAAATGAATAGTGACAGACACTAGTCTGTGTCACAGTTGGCTCTTCTTCTGAAAAAACAATCTGACCCACATTGCACTCGGGCTTGTTTTGCTCCAAAAGCTAAATACTGAACCAGAGCAGCCCCGAACATTTAAATGAAAAACTAAGCTTCACAGGGAGATGTGGGGTGAGACACTCTCTAATAAAAAAAAATCACCAGTCATAGGAAATGAGGATTGCCATTTCAACTGAAAAAAAAAAAATCCTTAATTATATAATAAGGCAGCCTAGTGGGGCTGTGCAGGCGAGATAAGAGCAGAAGCTGCACACTGTTTAACGTCCTCACAGTTAAACAGAGGGTCAACTCTACTAGATGTGTGTTTAGTGAGATGGCTTCATTTTTCTAGAGTGTTATACATGAGTATAGAGCTTGTTTAAGGTGCGTCTCTTAATCCTGACCTGTCTAATAAAGCTCTGGTAGTGTTTTGTATAACATGGTGACATTGATACAGTTTGTACACTGCGTTTATCTGCTTCAAAACATTGGAAATATCCCAGTTATATTCACTATTCTGACACTACAAGGGCCTCCTTGTCCACAAACAATACAGAGCGTTTTCTGTGCTCTGAGTATTTTTCTTTTTAATGCAGTCTTTTTCCCAGTCTTGTCTTTGAATAAGGGTTAGACAGAGGGTTATGTGAAGCTGACAGCAGAGGAGATTGCTGTTAAGAGATCACAGCGTTTTTCTTTCTCCCTGCCTGTTTTTTTCCCCTTGCTTCGCCAGTGTTGTTGGCCTTTAGTAGGCATCTGGATTTTCAAAAGACATTTTATTAGTCTGAGTTGCTCTTACTCACAGGGTAAAGGTGGTAAGTCATGTACAGTATTTCTTTTTTATCCCCCCTTGAGTTCGGACCTGCAGAAGAAGCCGGGTCAAGCTTTTATATTTCCCCCTCATGCCTCTTTTCTCTTGTCTCACATGCCGCCTTTTGTTTTATGCCTGGAGTTACATCAGCAGCCTGGAAAGCTGAGACACACAGCTGAAAGTGTGGAGAATATTTTTAGAGGGTCCTTGCCAGCGTCTATGAATCACTTGGTTATTAAGAAAAGCTTAAAAGTCTGGGTACAATATGATCAAATGAAGTCAAAATACTCCTGTGTTACTCTTGTTGTTTAACAATGTTGTTTTCCAAGTTCTCCTTCACATTATGCATGTTCAACATTTACACTGCAACCTTACTAGTTTAATAGCATGGTGGAAGTCGTTTCTAGCAGTGTGCTTGTTTTGCGTTTGTGCATGAATCTACAAAGTGAATGTCACTCCTATGCATAAGACACAGCATGTAGATTATATTCAGAATATCATACTGGATTCAACACTAATTTTGGCTTTTAAAAACCATGTTCAATCTTTATCATGCACCATCCTGTTCGATGATATCACATGAAATTGAATTTATAGTTGTTAAAGCAGAAAGTATCTGTCCATTGAGACAACCATGTGAATCCAGTCATGTGTTCTTTTATTTAAATTTGCCCCATAGCAAGTAAGAATTGAACGTGAGTGTTCTTTTTTTTTTTCTTTATAAACAGCTCTGCTCTCTTCTGTGTTTGTATGCAGGCACTAACCCTTCAAGGCCCGGAGGTTTCCCTGGTGCTAACAGTCCAGGGCCTGTGGCTGACCTGTACGGACCCAGCAGCCAGGACTCTGCCGTGGGAAACTACATCAGTGCTGCTAGCCCTCAGCCCGGCTCTGGGTTCGGACCCAGCATCACAGTGAGTACTCAGATGCCGACTTTCTTTTATTTGTTGAGCTCAGCTGCCTTTTTTTTTTTTTTCTGTCAGCATAACATCACTAAAATCAGAAACTAAGCCAATCAGGCTGTTTGTGGTTGTGACTTCATGTAAAACAGTTTAATATTTGCATTTTTGTAGCTTAAATAAGCACTTAGCAAATATGCTAAATCCAAAAAAAGCTCAAGCAACCATTCATTACTGACCATTAGCTTGCATTATGTCTCTACTGCTATTGAGTGCAGAGGTCCCATAAGCATGTTGTACATCAGAGTAAACCCTGTCCGAGCCCTCAAAGTTATCTGTGTTAAACACAAACGTGTATTCCCCTCAGCTGTTGCACAAATCACCTCACTTCAGACTCTGTGTCACCTTCCCAGAACAAATTCTCTTTATTTTTAGAAGCCCATCTGTCCCAGAGCTTGAGCTTGCTCTGTCACCAGGACAAAAGCTCCCAAGCAGCTTTTGTCTCTCCCAGTGTCCTTGTCCAGGTGTAGTGGCTCAGCCAGGTGCTGTTGCAGGGTGCAGTGTCCACTTATAGGTGTAACAGTAGACCATGTTTACTGCCTTTAGAAGTGTGTCCTGGCCTGTGTGTGGCTTTAGATGATGTGCCACTACAAAATGTTTGGCAGGCCTCAACCCAGGTGTTACTGCCAATGCAGCCATAGTCTGAGAGGACAGTGGTGCTTTATTATTATTGAGGGATATTACCTACAAGATAGATTATATTTTTATTATGACTGCAATATTTTGAAAGCTCATTTTAAACCCTTTAAAGAAACTTACTAGGGACTTCAACTCAGCTGACTTAATAAGAGATCATACACAGTAAATCAATGTTTAATAAAGAGTTTATGTCACAGTGTAAGGTAGTTTTATATACAGAAAATAACTAACCTCTTTTTACAGATATTCTGTCTTATGTTTATCTTTTTTTCATGAATAAATGGACAAGGATCTCCAAAAGATGCCTCAATCAGCTTTTTGTTTACTGATCTTGTGTTTTTATTTGTCCACCTCGGACCTCTCTGAATAATTAATCTTAAATTATAGAATCTGAATATTGTGTTCCCTAGTGAGGTGAACGAGGGCTGAGCTCTCAGTCTCCCTGCCTCTCCTGTTCGCCATGCATGTTTGCGCTTTTTTTACTGAGTGACGCAGTACAGGTTATGAAAATAACACCTGCTTTCTCAAAGAAGCTAATTAATGCAAGGCTTAACTGACGTAGAATAACAACAAGCCCATTAGTACCGCAGGCGAGCGCTGCAAGACTACAGGGTGACGACACCCTTCCAAACATTATAGACCGCATCATTAAATTAAAATTTCTGCAAAACTTACCAGAAAGTAAAAGGAACGTTAATGCTGGATGTTTGTGATGTTCTGCCTATTCATGTATTTACTTATAGATGAAATGAAGGAAGCTTTTTGGTATTTTACAATTCTAAATTTGAGGAGAAATGTTACTTTTTTTTTTTTTTGTGCATCTCTTGTGAAAATCCCAAAGGAACATTTGTGCATCGCATTGAAACATTAGGACTAATGGTGCAAGGCTTAAAAAGGGTGTGCGACTTAATGTTGTGTATAGGGGGTGATGTCACTCGGGGCACATGTGCAAATTGTTCATGAGAGACTTAAACAGTATTTATTCATTCCAATAAGTGTTTGTAATTGATTTATGATACCCAAAGTAAAAACCGAGCTTAACAGGAAAAACACATTTTATTGGCTTTTTGCCTCCCTAAGCAAAGCCTCTTTTATTAATTGTTTTAGGTCCACTGGCTATCTGCCATAATCTGTTGGTTTCAGTGGAGGAAGCAAAATATTTGTCATGAAAGACCGGGCTGGCTCATTTTCAAAGTAGATATACCAGCAGATAGTTTACAGATGGAAATGAGGCGATTTGTTTCCATTATTTTGCATTTGTTTCAACAGTTTGTGGCCACACTTGTACACACTTGAAAAATGTAAAACCTACACTTGTGTTAACCACAAAAGCTACAAAGTCTGAATAAAACTGAAGGGCTTTTTTTTGTTATTTTTATTGCTAAACAGGGTCACAGGCTTTGTTTTTTTTTTTTTTAAAAAGCCCTTGACACCGTTTTCACTGTTTTTACTAAACACATCAAATGCAGGGGAGCTTTTGTGGTCCCTCCACCGATTGCGAAATTGTGCTTGTGATACCTGGCACTAAATCAGCACCTCTGAATCACCGGTTGAATAAAACAGAGGGCAATAAAGCAGAGAGGTGATGTGACTTTCTGCTCTCAGCCAGATGATCTCTCTATTCAGAACATTTAAATCCGGGCATGATTCAGAACTCAAATGTGCTTCATAATTCATTTTCTTTTTCCTGAGGTTGCTTCTGAACTGATAACGCATCGGATCATCATATGTCACAACCTCATGGATGACTTCAGAGTCGCTGATTTGTAGCTCGGTCTCACGCTCCAGTGATTTTATTAATCCCTTTAGCCAATATCAAAACAGCCTCTGTGAAGAAGAACTAATGAACTTAACTGTGTTTTTTTTTATGCGCGACAATTAGAGTGCAATTAGCTGATTGGAGTGATAAAGAAAGATAATCGCTGTGGAAAGTGCTTCTCTTTTCTCTGCTGTGTTTGAATCCAAGGATTTCTTCAGACCTGTCAGCAGCAGTACTATTCACAGCATCCTGATTACTGAGCTGCTAAAGAACAGCATTCAATACTCCAACACACACTGATCTCACTAATACAGGTTTATTATCCTGTTTTCTGCATGATTTCAGATTCAATCAGTCTCGTATGTTGGCATGAATTGAGGATTGTGTGTTTATTTCAGCCCTTTTCAGGCCCAAATCGTCAAATGCAGCAGCTTGGTCATAGGCAGAACGCTTCACTTTAGTTGTAGTAGAGCCCGACCGATCAATCAGCCAGCCCATAATAGTACATGATTATTGATATCGGCTACTTTTATATATCGCCGATATAACTAAGGCCATTCAATTTAAATTTCTTATTTATTTTTATATAGTCATTATTTATAATTCAGTGCACTGTTTTCACAAGTGTTTGATAGCAGCAGTTGAGGGATCACTGTTGTAGATAGATCTGAGGAAGATATTGACCAATATATATCGGTATCATTATTGTTATTCTCCCTTGTGTTAGCATCACACCATAGTGACAGCATACGTATTTTTGGACGTATTTAAATGTAACACCGCTATCTTTTTCCAAAGTGAAAGAGCCGTAATGAGGGGTAACGAGCTGCAATATGTTACGTCAGATCCAGCGAGGCGGAACAGAGCTGTGTGTTTGTTTAACGCTATTCTCAGGATTTTGCAGCGTCTTAACGCCCTGTGATTGAGCACACTGTGACACAAATATTACACATATGTGGGTGCACTCAGGGGCGTTTTGAAGACACAACTTGGTTACAGCGCTCGTGCAGAATCGAGTCTTTAAGTGGCTAAAAATGTTGAAAACTGCTGAATGTCCAAAAGCCATTAGTGTGAAATGTGTTTCTGCCTGCTTTATTTTGAAATCAAACTGGCTGATTATTATCAATTACTTTGCAGATTCCTTTTGAAAGTCTAACTTAAAGTTGCATTTTTATTAGTTTTTTTGCTAACCTGGGCCTTGAGCGCTGCCTGTGCCAAACTGACACTGATTAATCCCTATACTCACAGTTGAACCTACGGGGGCCACAGACTTAGTTGCTGCATTTGACAAGTTGGGGTTGATAATTTGTTTTATATTATTATTATCCCTTTTTCTTTTTCACTCATTGTGTTAATCTATTATCATTGTTACCTGAAAAGTGATTTGAAGGTGTACTATATAACTCTTTAACATCTTTGACCATGTCCTGCTTCCTGTAGCCATGTTTTCTCTGTGTCTCTGTTCCAAAATTATAACCTGTTTGATATTTGTGACGATGTAGTCTCCTGCTCTGCTTCTCTGAACATGATCAAACTGAATCAAAAAGTTCACAGTTATGCTAGCTGGAAAAATGAAATGATACTCACGTTTCTCTCCTTGAAATGCATACTGACAAACGCACTAACTGTACACTTTTAGGGCCCGTTGATTGCGACAGCTTTTACAAATGGATACCATTGAACAGGTGGCCGGTTGCCATCTCATCAGAGGTATTGCATTTTATTTACTGTGCATTTCTATCAGTCTCTCTCTATGTGTTCATCACATGATTGGTTGTCTATTCACCCCTCTCAAAATGACGAGCTGGTAGTAAAGTGTGTGTGCGTGCGTGTGTGTGTGTGTGTGACAGAGGGTGTATGCTGCCACAAATTGGGAGGCCTCTGTTGTCGAGGTCGTCAAAATAAACAATTGGGCAGTTATTTAAAACTAATTCAATTATAAGACATGTGTGTAACTGCTTAAGTTTTTAGCTCCATGAAACACACACACACTGCTAACAGCTCTGCATTTATTCCTTTTTCTGTCCTATTAACCAATAAGTCCCTTGACAGAATAAATGGCCACCCTTGAACAGTCTGTGACATTTAAAATTCTTTACAGACCCCCCCTTTTTTGTTTTTGACCTCCTTACATGACCTCTGCTTTTGAGAGGGCAGAATTCTTCTCACATTTCCCCACACAAAAAAAAATGTTTGTACTAACAGGTCGATTGACTCAAATCTTCAAAGTTTTCAAAAAAACAAAAATTTCTATGAACTGAATATTTCAGTTTCATCATGTTTATTTTGTCCCTGTAATTCCAGCCAATAATGTCCCTCATACTGTGTGTACAATAGAATCACTAAAACCCATTCAGTATGAGAGCTTTTTGTCTGCTTTCGCCTCCTTTTCATACATACACTGTGTGATGTGTTGACCATCATCGTGCACATTTAGTTTTTTGTTTGCTTTTCTTTTTAATAAAATCAATCCAACCACTTGAATATTAGAAAGTAGCTGCACATGCATGTATAAGACTAAGCCATTGAGGGATGTAACTATTAGATATAGAGCTTTAAAATGCTAACATACATGCTCCTTAGTAGGATGGTCTTTACTTTAGTTATGTGTTCTAATGTTATGCCTGTAGCAAGTTCTGCTGCAGACATATCGCAGTCAGCGCCTCATAAGAATCCAAAATATATTTCCCATTACTGTATATAAAGATGGTTGACTAGTCTCCACCTCCTCCTGTTGTACAAAAGTGAAGCCAAAATATCCCTGGTGACAGGCGCCAACTTCTTGTGCTGTCAATTGCCGTTTTTACTGTTAAGGCGGCTGTGGATCAGTGGTAGAGTTGGTCATCTCGGGGGGTTTGATCCCCACCTCCTGTAGTCACATGTAGACGTGTCCTTGGTCAAGACATTGAACCCCAAATTGCTCCTGCTGCTAATCCAGCATCATGTGAATGGAATAGTATTGATGGACAGTTGGGCACTTTACAGAGCAGCCTCTGCCATCAGTGTGCTTAAGTGGGCTGAATCTGTGAATGTGACTTCTTGTGCAATCAGAAGACTGGAATAGCAACATTTACCATTTAACATGGAGGAGGTGAGTTTTTTCATCTTTACTGCATCCAGTTGGGGGAGCACTAAATGTTTTGGCTTCACTTTTGGATAGCAGTCATGTCGTCCATCTTTTCATACAGTCTGTGCTCTATATCCACATATTTTTGTTGTATTGTCAGGAATTAAGCAGATATGAAATGACAGTCGTCTAATGCTGCTGCTATCTTTTTTGTTTTCTTTTTTCTTTATCACCCAGCAGAGTATATCTGGTGGCCCAGGAAAGACAGGACGAAGTTTCTAATTGGCTTTGTGTGCAGGTGATGCTATCCAACTTCAAGCACTACAGCGTCAACCGAGGAAAAAGAAAGTTGGAACCACATGAAGAAGAAAAGAAAACGTTAGTCATCTCAGAAAAATAACAACTGCTGTACTATAATCCAAACCTCCTATACCTTTACGACCTGGTTTGGTATGATGTTTCACGTCGATTTCATTCACCTGTTTCCTTTCCTCTGTTTGTTTTTGATTAGCTTTTAGGAAGTCATCTTAGTTGAACCTTTAATTTTGTGTCATTTTATTTAATCTTATAGTATATTTGTGTAGATGGATTTTGTTTGAATATGGGGGTCATAGCCAAGAATATCTGCAAGTTATGTCTTCATCTTTGTATCGGTGAGTGTACCAGAGAAACGATTGGATGTTTCATTCAGTCTTTCCACAAATAAAAAAGAAACTCGGTGTGGAGAGACTCGGAGAAAAAAAATCAGTTTAAAGGAAAATTTTAAGAGGGTATCTAAGTAATAAATCTTAGTAGCTGTTTTATTTCGTGTGATGTCGCATTGTTAACCATAATTACCTATTTTTGGGCAATACAAAGAGGACTCCAATATTTTTATGGTCCTTTTTTATAAGTGTTGTTTTTGTTGTTTAGAAATATATATATATGCTATAACAAATTTCATATAACTACATTGTGAATTCAAACTTGAGAAAAAGAAATGTAGCTGTACATATTATTCCAGTCACTGCATATAACCAACTCAGTGAGAGAATAGCATATTTTTGTGATGGTGTGTCAAAAGAAAACATGTTATAGCGTGTGAATAGAAGAAGAAAAAAAAACTGTCAACAGTTATTAATCTACCTTTGTTTTGTGCTGGAAGACGACCCCAGAGACAGAACACACTTTTGCTCTGTAAATACTGAAGCTGAATAATTTTACAAGTGTCATACCAGCAAAATTTACAAACAGAGAGTTAAGTCAACACAGGTTTCAAAGAAATAAAGGAGCCTGACGGTATCTTTTGTTTGAACTGTTGAGATATCGGTATCATTTCAAAGAAGAAGAAAAACAAAAGACGATTTAATCCAAAGCACACTGTACTTAGAGGTGAAGATCAGAACTTGAATCAGGCATTTTACAGTGCTCTGTGCATTCTGACACTTTTATACTGAGAGGAACTTGTTAGTCGTACGTTCTTGTTTGTGTCATCCTGCTTGTTCCTGATGAATTTCTTCGGAAAGAAACACAATATCTGGGCTCTTCTGTTACGCGAGCCCTTTTAATGTAACGCTTGTTCTCTGAATCCGTTCTTTTTTGGAATGAATTAGGAAAAAGTCAACGTTTTGATACCATACCTCAGCCTTTTTGACTTCTGGCGTGGAGTCATTGGGCAGGTTTAATTTATTCTCGTGGTTAAAAACAGAATGAAAACACTGAAAGGTTAATAAAGCGAGTAATCATTGCACTGTGAGTAGTGAAGTACAGGCCTTTTTTTTCCTATTTGCACATGTGTATGCTGGCTTTTCAAAACGGCCCTGTGCTTTGGGATAGTATGAAGGATTTATGGGTTAATGTATTCTCGATGAACGCGTTTGTGGCGTTGGAAATATAACTGATATGTTGCAGTGTACACTTGGATTTCTTTCTCTATTAGACCCATGTCTCATCTAAAGATACTTATACAGGGTCAACAGAGTACACTGAATGATTCACTATCTGTCGCTGCACCAGCTTTTACACAGTGTGTGTGCTAAATCATGTTACTCAAACAATTATTAATAATAATAATAATAATAATAATAATAATCATCATATTTTCCAGAGTGCAGTCCGTTTTTTAGAGTCATCCATGGAATGAGTGGTTGTTTTATTTTGAAAGGACTTTACCTGCTGCGGATGTTTGTTGTTGTTTTTTTTTTATTTTTACCCCATTCTTGTTTGGTTTGATATGATTTCAAAACAACCAGGTAAAGAAATATGCTGGATACTTTTACAGTAAATGAAACGAAGGTGTGATCAAGTAATAATTGAAACAGTAAAGAGAAAAAAATGACCCTTGTAATGTTTAAATGTAAAAGAAAATAAGAAATACAAATCTATAAAAAAAAAGAAAAAAGAAAGATGCTTCTTTGCTGATTTCAAGTTTAATCCGAGTTTCATTGATACTTTGTGGTTTATATATGAATAATTGTAATATACTATTAAAATGTACTGTGCATCCATTGCTTTCTCTCTTTCCATTCCCCATCCTCAGAGATCCTCCTTCTTTTTGTTGCTCATTCATGTATTTCATTAGTGTGTAAAGAAATCACAGTTAACTTGTAAACAGAGTGCTGTCTTTGATACCAGTGTAGTGGTCTTTGTTGTTCTCCCTTTGCTCTACCTCTCCTTTCCCTCATATCTACCCCCACCCCACCTCCCCACCCCATGCTCTTTTTCTATCTCCTGTAAGTACAACAAGTAGATGTTATATAGGACTCATTAATATAATACTCGTAGTGAATAGTGGATTTAGGACTCAGTCAAGATAGACCTTTATCTTAATGATCATGTTATTCAGATATTTGCAGACTCTTCTTTTCATAGAGGTTCATTGTAATTTATTCCCTGTATGTTTGACTTTTTTTAGTTTCTGCCACTCTCACATCGTTTCAGCTAACCAAAGCTCTCACGGTTGAACAATAGAGGAAGCGTCGCTCTAAGAAGGAATTGTTCACGAGGCATTATTTGGATCCCCACCCTTGAATGTTTTAAAAGGGGTGTGCCATACTACCTTAAATGCTAACGCTAGATATGCAAAACTTTAATTTTGGGTCATTTGTCAAGAGGGGTACAAGCTAAAATCATGGAGAATAGATGTTATGTAATAAAACAGTCATAATTTTATAAGAATCATAGAAATGATTACCATAGAAGTCACAATATCAGTCACAGAGTGATGAAATAACTACTTTCAGCATTAGAAATGTCCCAGATCTGCCACATTTATCATGAAGCATACTCTGGACTTCATCTTTTCTTTCTCGATTTAAAAATGTAGCATTATGCATTCTAATGATCTTCATCTTAATTGGGAACTGTTTTTAGTTTTTATCCGATATCATTGCAGTCCACACATTTCTGAATGAAAGAGGCATTACTGTAGAATTAAAATAAAAACTGGTGTTATAGCATCTACTGGGCAGTCTTAAGGAATATTTTGAATTCATGTTGGACCAGCACCATAAAGCTTTGATTGATGGCTTAGCCAAATAAAAGTAGCAAAGATTATATTTTCACAACCTGCAGCATGTCATCCTTCAGCAACCTGCTGGATTCACATGAGCAGCTAATCAAACCTGTTCAAACAAATACATTGAGTTAAGTAGCCCAAACTGTGTGTACACTCCATGTTATTCTTCCAGTATCATAAAACAAAATGTAAGTAATAATGCAGTTGTTTAATTAATTCACCCTTTGAGCCCTTACAGTTGAATACTGGGACATTAATAACAACACAAATGGACTCATTATATCTAAGAGACCATCAGGTTGTTGGAAATAAAATCATTTGTAGATTTATTTGTCTTGGAAAAAGGAATTAAAGTGGTTAAATAAAATCTAGGCTTTCCCATTAACTATAAAACAACAAAGAAAAACCGGGTTAATTATTCCAAAGATATATTTTCAGCTCTAAATGCTTCAACTGTTGGCACATTAAAGTGTGAAAATATCACATCACAACACAACACTACCAATGGATAAAATAGGAATAATTAATTTCAGTTAACCCACTCACATAAACTAGTTGATTATTATTCTGAAGGGATAACAGGAAGTCAATGTCCACTTCATTTTTTTTCCCCGATTTATCTAAAATGATATATAAATCATTAACTGGTTCTCAAACGTCCTACAAACTGATACAAGAAGCTCATCCAGAGCTGAATTAAATTATCCACAAGTGCTCGAATATAGATTCATTTTGTTTGTTTCATTCCCTTGTGGCTCTTAGATAATGAACCCTCTTTGACGAGAGGAGAAGAAGTCAATCTTGAAACGGCTCATTTTCCCTCACACCATATGAACTCCGGTTGTTTTGTGATCCTGTAGCTTGGACTTTAAGGTAGCATGGCTCTGTTGCTGTAATTTAATTTAATCTCAAACTGACAGCAGTTTACAGCTGATGAATGTTACACATCTTAGTAGACTAGCTTATCCATTAGGGAGAGGGGAGGGGTCTTGGTTTAAAGAAAAAAAAAGAATCAAAAAATTAAAAAAGTCAACCTGAGAGGTGTTGACATTTGTAGTGTACTACCGTATCCATTTAAACTTGAATCTTGAGGCAAGTGCTAGGCAATGGCCAAACTATTTCTCCTTAGGGGGGAATTCACACCCTGAAATCACACCGACCTGTGAGGTTTCTGTCTCCTTGGGTTCAAATCTGTTTTATGAATATGAAAAAGTAGAGACATCAGTCATGGACCGTTTCAGGCTCAGTTAGTTAGACCGGCTTTCATTGAACGTTTCTGAGCATTTATACCTTCAAAGGGTTTTTCATAGTGTTGCTGATGGTTTTAAACCAGACAGTGTCATTATCTCTGAGAGATAGTGGATACTGTCAGAGTGACCACAAATTTAGTCTCCCAGCCCACAAAGTGTCTCTTACTGTACACACTGTAACCATCGTTTATAGTGCTGGCTCTCTTGATAGAGGATAAAACAAAGATGGCTTCATGTTCACAAATCCAACTGAACTCCTCAAGGTGACAGAAAACACACAAGTTGAACTGTACTGATGTGTTTTGGGGTGAATTTACCCTTAAGTCCAAAACCATTGCCATCCCACCCATACTCATTTTTAAAGATAAACACACAATTGCAATATATATATATGTGTATAGATGAATATATACTTGCAATTTGCACTCATTTGATTAGACTGGAGACCTCAGCTGTATACAGAATTTTCCTCTCACACACACACAGGTTCATTATTAGTTTATGTTCACCCATGTCGTGTTGTGTTCAGAGCAGACAGCTCGGCCTGAAGGAGAGCCTGCGAGCTCTTCAGAGTGCACGGGCGTCAGTGTGAGGCTTTGCTGTGCTTCCATGTTTGTGCACGGAGCTCTCCACACTGCCGTCGGCCCATTCCTAACACTTGCCCCCTTTTTTTTATGTTAACCGACTTTTTATGGCGAGAGACAGACAGACTTGACTGACATCTGAAAGCATCTTTCAGGTTATCATATGGCTTGCTTAAGCCCTGTTGTAAATTATACTAAAAAGAAAAAAATAATAATACATGGATGGGGGTCTCTCACATATCAAATGTGGAAAGTCTAATTTTATATTTGTATTTTCAAATAATAATATTGACAAAAAATGTCTGTGAAAGGTTTCCATCCTCTACTGTGGTCCAGAAATTGATGTGTCTGTCTGGAAAATAAATAAAATAAACTGGATTGTTATATGACTTGTTTTCATGTTTCATTGTATTTTTATATTTATTTTAAAACATCGTATGCACTGTCCATTTAGAAAAGATCAAAAAATTCAACTGCAGTGATTCAATCTTCATAATTATGAAGATAACTATTTAGAAGATAAGAGGCTTCCCTTTTTATTTTTTAGGCATCTGCTGACATACCATAACTGAGAACTGGATATATATATATACTTTTTTTTAGGTGTTGCATTTGCTAAAATGTATTCTACAAATGTGTTTTCCTTTAATGCCACATTTTCACTCAGCATTTCAGCTCCGGGATCCTCTGAGGTTGCTCTCAAGTCAGCAGGATTAATAGATCCTGAGCTCTAAGATGCATTCAGGGACCCTGTGAACAATCGTGCTGGCGTGTTATTCTGCTGCCCCTCAGTGGTCGCTCACAGCGCTGGGGAAAGAGATACAGCAGCATTTTCAGATGAGGATCACAGCATCCCATCAGTGCTTTATTTTTTCATCAGCGGCATCACATGGAGAGCATCAATATTAGCCGAGGCTCAGGGAATAAACAGGCTGAGGATGTGATGAGTAGATGAGCAAACAGGCGGCTGCATGACAGGCCTCTTAGAGATGTACAATGGATAGGAGGGAGATACACACACACACACACACACACACACACACACACACACACACACACACACACACAGAGAAAGTCTCAGGATTTACCTCTGATGTGTTTGTCACAGTGTTTTGAGAATTTCATTTCATATGTTAGAAACAAAAAAATCTGAGTCAACTTCTGAGGTGAAGCAGAAGAATAAGTCACAGTAAAAGTATAAATAGTTTCTGCAACGTTCCCTCAAGAAATACTTTTTTTAATCTGTTTTCCAAATATTGTAAATGTTTCATTAAAGAGACTCTCGTATCTGGTAATGAAAACAACAGACAAAGACCATTATAATATTTAGATGCAAAGATTATTAATATGCATACATAATAATAATTATGAAAAGAGCTAAATCAATTTTAGTGCATTTCTGGAATTCTAAGAATGCCTTTTTTTTTAATGTGAAGCATAATGTTTTTGTTGCATTTAAACTCGGGGATCAGGTTTTAATAATGCTTGTCAGGTAAGACCAACAGTCGGACAGCTTCATCACTCATTCAGACAAGGTGATCTATAACTCTGACTGAGATCAATACTGTTCCCAGCTCTGTTTTTCACAGCCGAGGCACTACGAGTTTTAAATCACACTGTGTGTGTGTTTGTATAATGAACGTATAATTGTCAGGACTATCGTTTCACTTTCACAGAAGATGCTTTTGATATTTGGCTTTTTTTTTTCGTCTGACAAAGGATTGTGGAGCTCAGTCACAAGGTTTATGCGTATATAAATCTCATACAAACAACAGTATTAATGTTTAAATAAATTGGACACTCATAAACATGTTCTGCCCCTTTTGATGGCTGCAGTTTGTCCAGCTGATTTTGGTCAATGTAGTTAGCACTCACCACCAAACACTTGATGCCTCCGCTGTCTGTGTTCTTAACTCACAGTCAGCCTAACTGGTTGACCTTTCCAGTCCACCTGCCTTTAATTAAGTGCTAATTAAAAGTGCCATTATGATCAGAGAGCTCGGCTCTCGTCAGCCCATAATACGACGATTCAGGTCTTTGTTGGAACACTGCAAGACAATCAGGCGTCCTTATGGAGCTAAATGTCAGCTCACTGCAGAAAAAGGGAAGCTGTTGTTAATGTGTGGCAGCAAAGTTTGTTTTGAAGACAAAATGTTGTGATATTTGAGCAGCAGGCACCGCATTATGAATATGTATCGTCATCTGCATCTTTAATGGGTTTGTATTTTACATTTTTACTGCTTAACATTGAACAAAATCATACAATTTGGCACAGAAAAATCACCAAATATGGGCGTTTGGAACAACATGTCACCAGCTCATTTGAAGGCCGTATACCTCACACCATCCGCTCTGTGTAAATTTCCCATGGGTCTTTGCTAACAGGCTGAATGTGACAGCTCCTGGCAAACACAGAAACAAGCCACTGTGTGCAGAGGATGCAGCATGACAACAATGCTGCAGCAGCTGTGGAGGTGAAATGAATGAGCGCTGGTTCTAGAGGAGGGTCTGCTGCCTGAGAGGAAGAGGAGAGGGATGAAGAATACCTGGATGCCATGCATATTCATGCTGCAGGAGACCCACAATCCACAGCCTGCGAGGACACTTCAGGGCCCCTCAGCATTTTCTAACACTAATTAAGAGCCAGTCTGAGCTGCTGGCATGTTTAATTGCCAATTACAGGTAAGGTGAGCTATAGATGAAAATGACAGGTATTTATATGCTACATCAGCCTCAATAATCAGCCTGTGTTTAAACCTTGAAAATTGGACTGGAATGAAAGCTTTGGAAGCATCCAGGATCCTCACACAAGCCTGGCATTGTAGGAATTCAAGTGCAATAATGAGCAATGTTCAATGGATATGCACTTAATTTTATGTGCATCACTAAATTATCTCCCCGCACAGCCATGTAATGGTTGCTCCTCTTTTGAAGCGTAAAATTTTTTTGACAGAGCTGTGTAATAGAGTCAATAGTTGATGTGCAGACTGCTGTGGATGGGGGGAGACGAGGCACTCAGGTGGCTGTTTCCTTGCAGACTGCAGGCCTAATGTAGCCTTTGGCATGGAAATTGACGTGACATTGATGGGCACTCTCCCGCCAGCAGAGAGGCACGCGCCTGCACAGCCTTCCAATTCACTAATAATTGCTGATTAAAAACTAGTTAAGAGTCCATGAAAACTCAAATGTGCATTAACCAAATGACCTTGTGGGAATGGCAAACAGGCAGCAGCCAAGAAAGCAGACGGCGTCATGCGTGGAGACTCTGTCCCTGGACTGTTTCTGAGGAGGAAACAAACAGGAGGGCGCTGCCAAGACTATTGAGTTTCTTTCAAAATGAAGTTTAGTTGTTTCATAGACGTCATCTTTATCTTTTTCAATTATTATTGAGCTGATAGAACTTTTTTCCAAGAGGAGATTGTCAATCAACTTTGAAATAATCCAAAACTGACTGATGTGACTTAAAAATGAAATCACACAATTAAAAATCTTCTTCCATAGATGTAGATGTGGATAATCTAATATTGTCAACAACAAGTATCTTTGTTTCTTTCAGATTCAGTCAAAGGACATCATCAATAAAATGTATGTTTTAAATCACTGTTACTTCATCACTTTCGATTGAGCGTCTCCCTGCTCCTTGATGTTTGTTAAGATCGTGAAGTGTTTTCTTATTCTTCATGGAAAATTACAATGAAATGAAATGACTCAATAAAATGTATTTTATTGTGCAATAACCAAATCTCTAGGGGGTAATATAACAATAATCACTATAATTAAATATATTTCATTATTCCCCTAAAACAACATGTGATCATAAATTCATGTGAAGTCTGGAGATGAGTTAATCGTCTGTTCAAACTGTGAAGATCTTCTCATCTTTTCCCTGTAGATTGATCTTGTTATCACACTCAACACAAGGCTGATCATAGAAATGGAAGAAAAAGAAGAAAAGAAGAAACTTTTATCTCCAATTTTTTCCGCTCAAAGTAATTATGGCCTTAATGTTGTGTCCTGTAAGCGGTCTGATTTCAGCAGTATGAAGAGGCCATAAACTAACTGACTCAGAAAATTCACATATTGTCTCCCTTTTCTCTCATATTGTCCACCAGATGAGGCATTACGAGCTCACAAAGGCCGTCGCTTTTGGCCTCGATCACAGAGGATGCAGCTGTCTGTTCATTGTTCATCATCATTGTCTTCATGGATCTGATGCTGTGGAATCAATAGCTGCCTTAGAGCAAACTTGTGTGCAGCAGACTGGACTGTAGAAGCAGGTGAGACTGTCGATTATTACCTGAGGACAGAGAGAAAATACAAAGTGAAAGCCTTGGGGTGGGTAAACGTGTTGGTGTTGATGGCATGATTACTGATGGATTAATGATCAGTTGGCTGGCTGCTGCAGATTCTGGCGTCACTTTCCAGCCTGTGGACTTTGCCTGTGAAAAATATTCCTCCGTGCTCCTTGTGCTCCCTCTCCTCCGGCCTGCCAAAACTATTATGACAGCAATTAAATGGATGAGAAATGAATAAATGTGTATGTGGGAAGAACGCTGACCGGTCAAGAGGCACACTAAAGCGAATGCTATATTTTCATACAACAGTTAGAGGGCTGATTTATTTTCACTTTCTGACATATCAAAATGTTTCACTTAAGACCTGATGAGGATTATTTTTCATCATATTACAACATCTTTTTTGCCTAAATTATTCATAACTAAACTATGTGATGCAGACTAATGCAATTATTGCATTTTTTGCCATACATTTTGAAAACCGGTCAGAGAAATTGCCTCAAAAGGACAGTTTGACACCTGAATTTTTAAGGTAAGAGGCGCATCACAGCACCGTGTAATCCATTTGTGATTTGTTATCTTCATTAAATGCTTCTATAAAGCATTGCTGTTAAAATACGAAAGATCGCCATGCTTTTTGAAGCAGATGAAAAGCAGACAAAATCAGTTTTAGCGCCTCTAAAGTCACTGCAGATACTCGAGAGAGAGAGCTTTAGCCAAGCACGCATGAGAGGGAAACGATGCATTTCCACTGGTTAGCACTGCATACAGAGGTTTTTTTTTTTTAAATCAGACACAATATGCGTGAAATCTATTCTTAGTTATTTGACATTATATCTGCGTGTGAGAAATGTTCCTGAGATTTTCATAGGCAAGGTCAAGCTCAAGGTCATTTTATATCTCATTAGGGAAATTTAATAAGCAGCACAGTAATAATCCATTTAATGCATGACACATATGGGTAGGAATTAAGTAACAAATTCAACACAAACACAACAGTAACAGCATAAAACACTGCATTATTCCTCCCCCAAAAATATAAAGCAGTTTGAGCAAAGAAACAATTGAATTTCCTGTAGTTACAGCTTAATGGC